TCTCTCTCTCTCTCTCTCTATCTCTCTGTGTGTGTGTGTGTGCATCTATCTTTCCTTTTTGCTGTGTAACTCTTTCAAATAAATAAATCTTACAAAAATAGAGGAGGAAAGAGGTCTGAAAACTGAAATCTTGGACATTCCAATGTTTAGAATTCAGAGACATGAACAAAATGCAGGAAAGGAGAATCGGAAAGAAAGATCACAGACAAACGGGGGGCAATGTTGTATAAAAGCCATGAAGTCAGAATAGAAAGGGTTCCAAGAAGGAAGGAAAAAATCAGTTTGTCAGATTGGTAAGTTTCGATGACTGAGCTCTGCTCCATGAATTTGACAAAGTTAAAGTTGCTGGAGGCTTTGTTTGAGCTTCTTAATAATGTGATGAGCATTAAATGTTAATTATAGCAAATTCACGTGAAAAATGAAAGGAAACTGCTTGAAGGGAAAAGGGAGTCCTTATGATCAGAATGTGTCCACCCCAGGCAAGGCTTGCTTCTCCAGAAGTCAAGGGGAAACCCACGCAACACAAGAAACCTCGTAAGATCCTGCAGGACTCTGGTAGTAGTTAGAGAAGGCCAAAATACTAGAATGTGACTGCCCTTCCGAAGGACTTCATTCCTTTCCCAGCAAGAGGAAGCCCATCCTCTGTTAATGTCCATAGCCACTATACCACTATCTGTCATGGGATCACCACAAGTAGTTCAGGAGTCACCTTTCATCCCTCATCTACAGGGTACTTAATCACACAGCTATGCGTGTGCCTCTCCTTCATCACCCCATCTCCTGACTTTATTTTTCCATTCCGCACCCTGGAATTCAAGCTGAATCAACAGCAAAATCTTATACAGAATATTGGAGGCGATAGCCTTAACATTTTTGTGAAAGTTTCCTTTACGTTCCTGTTTAAAAAAAAAATCCAAATCTCCCCTAACAACACTGCTTTCTGCAAGCTTTGGTAGCTGAGAGATGGCGTAGGGAATTTAGTTCCTGTCTTATGCATGTGAATATCTAGCTTTTTCAGTACAATTTATTCAACAGACTGTTCTTTCTCCAATGCATGTTCACTCCTCAGATGGCCTCAATAGCTGGAGCTGTGCCGATCTGAAGCCAGGAGCAGCTTCTTGGTCTCCTACACGGGTGCAGGGGCCCAAGCACTTGGGCCGTCTTCCACTGCTTTCCTAGGCTGTAGCAGAGAGCTGGATCAGAAGTGGAGCAGCTGGGACTCAAGCGGCACCCATATGGGATGCCGGCACTGCAGATGGTGGCTTTACCCACTAAGCCACAGCAGCATCCCCTAGGTTCACTTCTAAGCTCTCTATCCTGTACCATAGTTTTATGTGTCTATTTTTATGCCAATATCATGCTGTTTTAACAACTGTGGCCTTGCAGTGAATTTTAAAGCCAAGCAGTATAATGATTCTTTCTTTGTTCTTTATGAGCTGTTTTCCAAGTTCCATGAATAATGTATACTTCAACAACATTTATTCTCCCATTCCATGAACTTGTAATGGTTCTCATTTATTGTATTCCCTTAAATTTCTTTCTTCCGTATTTTATAGTTTTAATGCTACAGATCTTTCACTTCTTTGGTTAAATTTATTCACATTTATTCTCTTATTCTAGCTATTAGAAAAGGGATTGTTTTCTTGATTTCTTTTTCTGGTAATTCATTATTGGTATATAACATTACATACACTATAACACTACTTATTTTTGCACATTGATTTTGTATGCTGCAATTTAACTGAATTTCTTTATTAGTTCCAACATTTTTTGGTGGGGTATTTGGGTATATATATCCTATATATAGTATATAGGATATATAGGGTATATATACCTATATACAATATCATGTCATCTGCAAGCAGTAAAGACTTGCTCCTTTCTAATTTGGATATTTTTTTATTTCTTTATCTTCTCTCATTGCTTTGGTTAGGACTTCCAGTATTATGCTTAGTGAAAAAATGGTGAAAGCTGGCAACTTTATCTTGTTTCAGATCCTAGGGACACAACGTCTTTAGATTCCCTCATTTGGTGTATATTTGTTGTAGGTTTAGTATACACAGCCTTTATCATCATGAGTTATGATCCCCCTACACCTATTTTGCACAGTGTCTTTATCATGAAACCATGAGATGCTGGCACTGCAGGAAGCTGCACTTCCCCCTATGCCACAGCGCCGGCCTCTCATATTGTTTTATTAGATGCAGAAAAGGTATTTGATGGAATCTTGCGTGAACTCATGAATACGTTGGGTTATATATATGGCAGAGGAAGATACAGAAAGATGCAAGCTTGCTAGATCTGAAGATGGGAGAAGAGCGCGAAAAATCATGTAGAAACCAGGAAAGATGAGAAAACGGATTGTCCCCTGCAGCTTCCAGATGGGAAGCAGCCCTGCCAATACACTGCGTTCAGCCCAGTGAGGTCCATTTCATGAGGGTCTTCGTGGTCTCAGGTGTCCTAACCTAACTTTAAAGTAGAAACTTTTTATTGATTAAAGATTTTAATTTGTGGCAACTTGTTATAGCAGCAATTGAAAACAAACACTAAACTAACTGAAATGTAAAGTTAGTCCCCTTCCTAACACTCTTTTACTTTCCTCCCCTGTATTTTTTCTCCAGAGCATTACTTGTTGCTAATACACACTGTATTTTGATAACTTCTCTTAATATTGCTGTGTCCTCACCAGAATGCAAGTTTCATAGAGCAGTAGAAGACATTATTGCTTTGTTTATTGCTATAATGTCAGCTCCTAAAAGAGTTGCTAAAATATGAGAGCTACTAAAAAATTGTCAAATGAATAAATAAACTGTCAACACTGCAAGTTTATAACACATTGTTCTTATAATGGATTATGGCTGTAAAACACTTTACAATAAATTTAATCTTAATTTCTATTTGCTAATATTACAACTAAGTGGTAAGTTTATAAATAAAATGTTTATTTCTGTAAAGCAATAATTAAATATGTTACAGGGAAAAGAATGCCATACACAAGATTCCTTTACTAACTTTTCACTCTAACAGTACATCATGTTTCTTGCCCAATTTTTTTGGACTTTGATCATTTTTAATACCTCAATTTATGTTACTATTCTGTATTCCACCTCCAATCTGATATTTTTAAAAGTACTAGCTTATAGGAAAGAAAAATTGAATTTACCTTTTAAATTATTTTTGGTATGTATATTATGATCTCTTTTATTCATATCATGTTAGGCAAAAGCATTGAATTGTTAACTGTCCTGGTCTTGCTATTTCAAGCAATATCTGATAACAAATGCACTGAAAAAACTAAGTTAATGTCATCTGCTGAAATCTGTAACTTTGTTAAAGGCTTATGAGACAAACACACATACACAAACAAACATATATACAGAGAGAGAGAGAGAGAGAGAGAGAGAGAGATTGAATAGAAAAGCGTTTTGCTCCCATTAAAACATCCTAGGTGTTCTGATTGTGATTACTTTGGGTTCATTTTTCAAAATGCCAAATGGTTTCTTATCAGAATAAGAGTGACACTAGATGACTCTGAAGTATGTGACTTTCAATCTCAAAACGAGTCACTACAGTAAATTAAAAGGCGATAGCTTTGGAGCAGGGTAGCCATTCCCTCTTCTGAACCCTGCCTTGTAGAGTATCATGATATACTGAACTATCGAGACTGCTGTGTATGAAACACAGACACGATAAATTAACATTTCCTTCAGACTTTAGTTATTGTAAAATCAGTGATTTGATATCATATAAGGCATTGTCCACCCAAGACTTAAGGAAATCTTTGTATAATCAGACTCCACAATAACCCGTTGCAGAGTATAATTACAGCATTGAAAATTTATACTGATTATTATAGCCATTTATATTCATAATAACATCTGTAAATCTTCTAGCCACATTCATCTTACATAAGTAATAGGGTTGTCTCATACAGAAATGAGCAAAACTAGTGAAAAATATGTTAATTAAAGCAAACTGAATTTCTATTTCACATACTTGAATGACTATCCAAAGAATCTGAGAATAAATGATCAAAATAAAAAATGTATAAGTTTTTTAAATAAGGTTTGCTCTAATTTTGCAGAACATTTTAATTAGTCCTCAAACAGAATCTTAACATGTTAATACTAGTTCCTTTACTGTGGTTTCGTAAATATGCCTGTGATGACAACTTGTCAATATCTTTTGACAGAATTCACTTTCCAATTGATGGTTTATGTATTTGATTTGCAATACTGCTGAGTATCATAGCTCTCAATTTTAAAAACTATCTTGAAAACTATTGACAAATGCTTTTTATTTTGTTTTCTAATCTGAATAACAGCATGTTCTTATAGGGATTTTAATAATCATCCTCAAAATGTGCTGACCTCCCCTATCAAAAATTGAACTTAGCAACAAAATGGATGTAATCAGAGATCATTAGGCTTAGTGAAATAAGCTAGTCCTCAACAGACAAATACCATATGTTTTCTCTGATTTATGGTAACTCGTATACAGTGTACAAGAAAGTGTAATGTATGAGTGAAATTGACTTTTAGAGATTTGATTTTTGTTTATAATCTTTGTCTACTCCCAAGGAACAATGGTTTTTCTACTTACTACTTGTTGAATTCTTTATTTAGTGTGTGGTTAACATTGTGATTATAAAGTATATTGAGGCCGGCGCCGCGGCTCACTGGGCTAATCCTCCGCTTTGCGGCGCCGGCACACCGGGTTCTAGTCGCAGTCGGGGCGCCGGATTCTGTCCCAGTGGCCCCTCTTCCAGGCCAGCTCTCTGCTGTGACCAGGGAGTGCAGTGGAGGATGGCCCAAGTGCTTGGGCCCTGCACCCCATGGGAGACCAGGAGAAGTACCTGGCTCCAGCCGCAGCAGCCATTGGAGGGTGAACCAACGGCAAAGGAAGACCTTTCTCTCTGTCTCTCTCTCTCACTGTCCACTCTGCCTGTCAAAAAAAAAAAAAAAAAGTAAATTGAAAACATGTCATTCCAAAAATTTTTTTTTTTTTTAAGAAAAGTTTTGTGGTTTTATTGTATCATGAGGCATTGAAACATCTGAACAAATCAATATCTGGGCGGTGAGGCAGCTGCTTTCTCCTTCACTTCTTTGGGTTACTAGAGCAACTTGTCAGTAGATTAAAAAAAAAAAAAGACAACCTTTTGCATTATTTAAGTCTTTCCAAGGCATGCGCTGGTACAACACAAACTTCTCCTGTCAGATGCAACTAGTCTAGAGTCCAAACATCATGCACAACACCTTGGTGGCAGCAGCGCACTGCGCCCTCTCCCACCACGGCCCTGCTCGTTTGTGAATGATATTTGGAGCATCTGGAGGAGTGTGAATAGTATCAGGAAGAGGAGGGAGGAGGAAACAGCGTTGAGTGCCCGGCTGGGAGGAGGTCAGCCGAAGTTGTGCAGGGCAAGCCTGAACATGTCATTGGTGCAAACCCAAGCATCGTTGATGTTCTTTAATAGGAACATCTGGTGGAATCCCATGATAGGGTCTTCGTCAGCCTTGAGCTGGCCCACAACCATGCTGATGATGCAGCTATCTGGCGTGGGCTGATGGTCCTGTGCCGTGATGCTGTGCTGGATTTTCTGGAAGGGAAGGCTAGACAACTTCTCCACAATGGCAGCTTTCCCTTGGAACTGCTGTCCTTCCCACGTAAGGCATGACGCATCAATGTAAATTGCGCCTAGTTGGGTTCTGTCATTATCAAATAACTGGTAGTAATGTTGAATGAAGCTGGATCCAATCTGCTCCCAAATTGGCTTGTCTCCCATTCTGGAGCGTCACCTGGCCTTGTTGAGACCCGAGGGGCTGGCACGATGGCGGCGGCGGCGGCGGCAACCCCTGTCATTCCAAAAATTAAAAGAAAAATAAGAAAGGAAGGAGGGAGAGAGGGAATGGAGGAGAGAGAGTAGGTTGGGAAGCATTATAACTTCTTAAAACTGTGTATTTGAAATAAATGAAATCTGCTTTGTTCACACAAATAAATAAATAATTTGTAAAAACACAGGGAGACCTAAAGTAGAAATATGTATTTCAAACATGACCCGAATTGGTGGATAAAAATAGTCCAACACAATGTTATGTGGTAGTTGTTATGTCTGGTGTTGATTTTTCATGATGTGCTTATGAAATTAATGGAGTCTGAACGCATATCTGACTAGAAGTTTTGCTACATTTTGAACAAGAATTCACTCTGTTGGTTTTCTTCAATACTTCCCTTTCCAACTTATGACTCAATATCACATGGTACAGTTTACTGCACATCCAGGTCTTTTCCTGAGATTCTGATTATTTTAAAATGAAAAAAAATCTAATTGTATTACTGTTGATCCAGATTAAACTTAGCCATTTATTGAAGACATTAAACAAAGCATGAAAAGGAAATAATTATTTTTAAGACTTATTTATCTGAAAATTAGAGTTACATACGGAGAGAGAGAGATCTTACACCTGCTGGCTCACTCCCCAGATAGTCACAACATTTGGGGTTGGACCAGGCCAACTTCAGGAGCCAGGAGCTTCTTCTGGGTCTCCAACATGTGTAACAGGTACCCAAGTACTGGGGTCTATCTTCCAATGCCTTCCAGGCCACTGGCAAGGAGCTAGATCAGAAACAAACAGTGCCCATATGGGTTGCTGGTGTTGCAGGTCGTGGCTTTACCTGCTACAACACAATGCCTGTTCCAGAAATAAATATTTAAAGTACTAGAAATATCATCATGATTTTACTCTCTATCTTCAATCATTTGACTTGGCAAGATTTTTCTTTTGTTTTCTTTAATTTATTTAAAAAAGAAAAGCAAAACATCTATCTTAAGAAAAACATATGCTATTACATGGTCAGCCCTGAACTTTCTCTAGAGAACTGATCTAAGCAAATCAAATTCATTCTCTTGAGTTTGTTCTATAAAATAAGATTATAGTACTATGTGTGCAATGGGATTTTTGTGAAAATTAAGCAAGGCCATATATGAAATTCTTGGCCTGATATTTGGCAAATAGGTTCTGTGAGGTCAGCAGGCAGGTCAGTTTTGTTAACTTCATGCCTGGGAAAATCTCTGGAACACTACAGGCACACAATAATATTTGCTAACTGACTCAATGAATGCACTTAAAAAACTCTTCCTATTTTGTGGTTATTGTCATAAAAACAGAGAATCAGGAATGGACATAAACTGACAAAAATTACGGAAGAGGTATCATGTAGAAATATAGGGAACAATAAACATTCGTGTGGCTTAGAGTAATATTTGCTTGGAGGATATCCAAAATTCAGAGAAAATTCCATCTTTAAACACTGTGTTAATAGATTAGAGTACTTCAAAGAATATGCAGAAAACTGAATTAAAAGGTAAGTTTATTTAGGTGCAAAAAAGTTGAAATTCAATTGCAACTTTGTCATAATACACATTTTCCATGAATTTTTTGAAAATTCCATCCATGCATCAATTTCAATTTTTTGCACCAAAATAAACATCTTGAAATACTATTGTCCATGAACTCTTTGAAGTACCCTTATAAAGATAATATTTACCTGTCCCTTTAAATTTCTGACTAAATCTAAAATTCTAGATTATAGTGGTGAAATGTAATTTTATTTTATTCATCTTAAACTTGGGTTTGTTAAAAAAAATGCAACTGCTGAAATGTGCTTATCTACTGGCTTTAACTGATATCAACAATTACAGTTAAATGTATGTTTTGAAAAACACATTTGATTCGACAGAGAAGTAGAAGAATACATTGAAAACAATAATCTGAGGCTCATGCAGTGGATTAAGCCACTGCTCCCCATGCCAGAATTCCGTATCAGCAACAGTTTGAGTCCTAGCTGCTCTGCTTCAGATCCAATTTCCTGCTATTATGCCTGAGAAATCAGGAGAAGGTGGTCTAAAAGCTTGGACCTCTGCCACACATGTGGGAGACCCAGATGGAGTTCCAGGCTCCTGGCTTCTGTCTGGCTGAACCCCAGCTGCTGCAATCATTTGGGAGTTGAAAAGGCAAAAGAAAGAACTCTGTCTCTCCTTCTGTCTCACTGTCACTATGCCTTTAAAAGAAATAAAATAAATCTTAAAAAAAAAAACTTAATACACCAAAAAAAAAATCTTTCAAGGTTAGAAACCATCCACATCTCATACAATGCTCCTTTTGCTCTACTTAAAAACATCAGAGGTGATAAAAGGTCCTCAGAACCTGTCTACATTCACTCTCCAAGCATACCGAAGGCCATTTGTATTTTTCTTAAAAATAAAATATGAAGAACTAATATATCAAGAATATATTACCATCTATAGTCATGAATTAATATATAAATATAGTTCAGAAATTACTTGCATCTAATTGAAGAAGTCTGCAGTAGTGCTTAATGTTCAATATGCGTTTTACTCTCATATCCACCCACTGAGTCACATTTAGGGCCTGCAGAATGATCTTGTCAAGGGATGACGTCCTTGTGGGGTAACGATGATACACTTTGCATGATTCAGTGGATCAGTAAATTCTCAATTCAGAATTTTACTGCAACTTGGATGTGTGGATTATATTGTAGAGTAGATGTTTATGACTTCCCAAATTCATATGTTGACATATTCATCCACAAATTAAAAATATTAAGAGGTCGATACTTTGAAAGTAGAGTAATTCATGAGGGTGGATCCTCATGAATTGAATTTCTGCCTATGTAAGAGAAACCCAAGAGTCTCTATCCACCATGTGAAGACACAGAAGGAAGACAGCCATTTCAACAACAAAGCAAAATTGAAAAGACACTAACTCTACCAGATCCTCACCTTGGACTCCTCAGCCTCCAGAACTCGGAGAAATAAATATTTGTTGTGTAAGTCACCCCGACTGATATTTTTGTCCTAGTGGCTCAAAGTAACAGTTGCTAAGTTAGTCATCCCCATCTTATATTAGATCACCAAAAAAAAAAAAAAAAAAAAAACTAAAGCACATTTCCATTCCTATTCAAAAAGTTCCAAAACAAAAATAACAAATCATTTAATCTGTGTGGTAGCTTTGAAGTACTGATGTTTAAAAATTAGTTGAGTTTAGCATCACTGTGTAGCAAGTTAAATTGCAATTTAGGACATTCCACATTCCACTTTGGTTACTCTGCTTCTAATTTAGCTTCCTACTAATTCATCATGGTATGCAGCAGATGATGGCTCAAATGGTTGAGTCCCTGCTACCCATGTGGGAGACTCAAATAAAGTTCTTAGCTCTGAGCTTTGGCAGGTCCAGCATCAACTGTTAGGTTGTGCAGATTTGAGAAGTGAGCCAGAGAATAAGCTCTCTCCCTCTTTCTCTCTCCCCCATCCCATGGTCTGCCTTCAAAATCAGCAAAAAATAAAATAATAATAATAATAAACTTTTAAAAATCTTGTCCTATTTTTTAAAGTTGCTTTTTTCTCTCTCAGAATTGAGTCCTTTAAATCACATAGATGTTGTTCATTCATCACCAATAAAACCAAATGAACTCCTTTAGAAAGAGAGAGATTTGAGGCTTAGATTCCTTTCTTTGCTTTGCTTTCAGTACCAACTTACTTTTGCTACTTAAGTGTTCTGTTCACCTTCAAAAATAGAGGAAGCAAGTTTTATGGACTCAACCACTATTTCTTCTGTGGCAGTAACCTGAGTAAACACAGTAAAGATGTGACTAGAAATCTCACATTTTGGAAAATGGTTTTAGTTTATAGAATTCAACAAGCTATAATTCTTAGAGCTCTTGGCTGTACAATTTATAGAATCAGGACAAATTTTCCCACTTCAGCACTGAGTGTTGCTTCAGGAAGAACATTCTTATATCAATATGAAAGAAATATTACAAAAATAAAGATATTTTCCACCAAGACATATCTGGATCTTTTGACTCATCTAACATTCCAGATGCCCTCTTGATAGACACCTCCCTCCTTGTTACTCATCATTTATCTTGATTTCAGTTAAATCATTTATAAATAACAGCTCTCAGAGTTTTATAAGGTTTATGATTTTTGATGATATCAATAATATATTCAATGTCTAGAATTAATTATCTTTATAAATCAATTACTTTAATCCACATCAAACATTTATTCTTTTTAAAAGATTTATTTGTTAACTTGAAAGGCAGAGGTACAGAGACAGATAGAAACAGAGATCATCCATCTGCTGGTTCACTCCGTAAATGGCCGGAGTTGGCCAGGCAGAAGCTAGGAGTCAGGAGTCTCTTGCAGTTCTCCTGCATAGGTGGCAAGGGCCCAAGCACCTGGGCCATCCTCTGTTGCTTTCCCAGGTGCACTTGCAGGGAATGGAATTAGAAGTGGAACTACCGGGACACAAACCACTGCCCAATGGGATGTCAACATACAGGTGGCAGCTTTACCCACTAAGCCAAAATGCTAGCCCCTCAGGTCAAACTTTTAAATCATGCTAGTATTTATTTTAGATGACACATCAGAAAAATATGCATATTTTAAAGAGTGTATACTTACAGTCTGTTGTTGACTATATTGTTTTTTTAAAGTTTTAATTAGTATGCACTTACACACCTTTAGGGAACACGGTGCAATATTGCAATACATTCATACAGTGTAAACTGACTAAATCATACAATCAGCAACTCCATCTCCCCATCTTTCTTCCATGTTTGGAGCTTACTAGCTACTCTTCTCCAGTTATATCTTCCAGTAATAGCACACATTAATTATGGCGATCTACAGTTGCCCCACTTTACTGACGAACGCTAGATTCTTGATTTCCATCCAACTGTGTTTGGGTACGCATTATCCAATCCCTCAACGTCTCCTCTCCTTCCTTTTCCAAGTCTCTAGTAATCACTGCTCTAAGTTCAGA